CCTTTCAATTCACCTTAACTTAGAACTAGATCACTGCTGTTTCACTGTTGCTAGATCATATCCTGGGAAATATCTTCCTAACAGTCCTGTGGATGTGCCGACTTCGACGGACTGCAATGTAATTTAGAAGATGACTCAACATGACCCTCTCAAGGTCAATTAGAATGGGTAATACATGCTGGCCGAGTAAGTGATCTGCACATACCATTTTCTAAAAAAAAAGCTAGGGTGGTAGATAATGATTTAAATAACTAGTGAGGGGAGGGACCCATAGGAGAGATGAAATGAAGAATTAAAGTGGAATAACGAGATAAAAGAGCAGGGAAGCAATTTGGCTAAGAATGGTCAGAGTGTGCAAGGAAGGGACAGCAAAGACAAACTTAAGATTACACCAGCTGGAAAGACTGGAGAGTGCAAAATTGAAAAAGACAGAGTTAAGATCTCTATCTGAAAGTGCGCAGCATTCATAACAAAATGGATGAATTGTTAGCACAAATGGAAATAATAACATATATGACCACATGTTTTCACAATTTGTGTATTACCTATCTGGAACTCAAATTTCCTTCCTTGAAGACTCCAATAAATGGTATAAAGAAATAAAAGAGAAAGTGCTGGAGAAATTCAGCAGATCTGTCAGCATCTGTGAAGAAAGAAATAGAGTTAACGTTTCTAGTCCAATCGCTCGTCTGTGGAACTGTTTCAAAGATTCATTGGATTCAAAAAGTCCACGGTATATTACTTTTAATGAAATGAAGAAGCTTGACAATGTTTAACATTTTGTTTTTTTTTTCATTTCTGTACATCTATTGTTCAGAGAAAAGAATCTAAACCAGTTTACCCGACTTTAACATCAATGTTATTTGCCGTTATTTTTTTCTTTCCAGAATTACCTTCTCTTATTCTTCTTCCATTTCTATTGATTGTAATTTCTCATTCCACATCCCCTCACTCTTTGGGTTTCACTGTTACTCATTCATCAAGACGAAATATGCTCATAAATGTTTCACACAAATTTGAACCTAGCAGCACTCTAAGGAACAATGAGAATACACCTAATCCACTATACAGTGATTTAAAATGCTTCTTCTTTCCCCTTTCTTTTTCATGTCGACTCTGGTTCAGTGCAATTTCAATCAAAAGATGCTACACGCTGACTACCCATGTATACATAGTGCTGTTCCATCCATGTGACTACCAAAGCTTCAATCCCACATGTAGTTACACGAGTGCAGATACTTCGATGAAGCAGTAAATGTTAAATTATCTATGAAGCTGAACAAGCTGTATAACATTTTAGTTCCAATCATGATCCTTCAATAAAGGCGCTCTATCCAGTAGATATTAACTGGTTTCTGTCCACTTTCAGTAATTCATCTCATTAAAGGAACCTTACCCAAGTACTTACTAGTTCCTTTAATGAGATGAGAAAACGTGCTCAGATTTTCCTCCATATGAAATCCTGATACTGTGACCTGTATGTTGTTTAATATGTCTTGACATAGAGCTTGCTAAATTAGGACTTGTTTACCCTGAAAGACTGCATTCTGTGAGATTCTTAATTCATCTCCAAATGATCAGAAAAAATATACCATCGTAGGAATTTATTGGATTTGCTCAGTCCACCAGTTAATAGTTATCTTCTTGAGATGTTATAGCTGGTGATCATCTGCTGTGACCTGCTGAAGCTGCCCTTCATGATTGTGACAAAATGTTATGTGATTGATGTTGCAGTCTGGGATTCGTGGTATTGCAACTGATGAGCATTTTGCCTTGTGGATTGTAAGAAAATGTAGATGTTGATGGAACACTCCCCACGTGCCTGGATGAGTGCAACTCCAACAACACTCAAGAAGCTTGACGCCATCCAGGACAAAGCAACCCCCTTGATTGGCATCCAACACTGTAGCAGTTATGTGTGCTAACTACAGGATGCACTGCAGAGTGAACAAGGTTCTGAAGAAGGGTCACTGGACCTGAAACGTTAACTTTGCTTTCTCTCCACAAATGCTGCCAGAACTGTTGAGTTTCACCGCAATTTCTGTTTTTGTTTCAGACTTCCAGTATCCATACGTCTACTACCTAACCCATGAGTGGCCACCGTCTTCCAGGTAGTCCCTGTGACAATGAAGACCTGTGGACTCTGATTCTCAGAGGGCAGAATTTCCACATCCAAGGTCCTTGGTCCTGAGGATGACCCACAGCTGCCCAATTTCTAATTGGAAAGCCTGCCACATTAGAAAAAGAAATGTGGAGCTCCCACTGGCTCACCAGTTGATGAGTAGACCCCTACCACTAAAATAAATTCCACCTACATCTATCAACCCTTTCCTAATACATATAACCACCCTTTTCTGGTAACATTCTTGTACATTTTCTCTGCATCCTCTCCATTACTATGAATCTCAATCTGTGAAGGGAACACTATAAATGCAAATCTTTCTTTTTTTTAGCTTTTGAGTGTTGTCAACTTTTTAACACTCACCCAAATACTAACAACAAGAGGTTTGTGAAAAATTAAAATGAAGGTTTGTTGTCAGGTAAGAAGTTCACACATGTATTATTTCAGTTTTTGAGACTTTAACTGATATTGAAGTTTGGGAATATGCATTTTGTATTCGCAGAGTCAGAGAGTCATACAGCATAGGAGAGGCTCTTTGGCCCATTGAACCTGTGTCACGCTATCTACACTAATCTCACTTTCCAGCTCTTGGCCCATAGCCCTGAATATTATGACACTTCAAGTGCTCATCCATGTATGGCTTAAAGGTTGTGAGGTTGCCCAGCTCCACTACCTTCCCAGGCAGTACATTGCAAATTCCCATCAACCTCTGGGTTAAAAAGTTTTCCTTGAATCCTGTTTAAATCTTCTGCCCTTCATTTTAAAAATATGCCTCCTCATTATTGACCCTTTAACTAAGAGGAACCCCTCATTCCTATTCCCTCTGTCCATTCCTCTCATAATCTTATACACTTTGGTCAGGACCCTTTCAGCCTCCTTTGCTCTAAGGAAAACAACCTGAGCCTATCCAGCATCTCTTCATCGCTGCAATTCTCCATCTCAGGCAACATCCTAGCGAATTTCCTTTGCACCCTCTCAGTGTGATCACATCCTTCCCACAGTGCTCCAGTTGTGGCCTAAGCAGATTTTTGTACTGCTCCAACATAACCTCCCTGCTCTGATAATCTATACCATTACAGATAAAGGCAAGTGTCCCTTTTCACATCTGAACAACGCATTAACCTCCCCTACCACCCACAGGAATCTATGGAGAAGCACCTGATGTTCCCTCTGCTCCTCTGGGCTTTTTAGTGTCCTGCCATTCAATTAGTACACCCTTGTCTTGTTACTACATCCAAAGTGCGTCACCTTACACTTTTCAAAGTTAAATTTCATCTTCTACTGATCCACCCATCTGACCAATCTGTTTACATCTCCCTGAAATCTAAGACCTTCTTTATCTTTAACCACCTGACCAATCTTTGTGTAATCCACAAATTTACTTATCACACAGTCTCATAGAGTCATAGTCATATGGCATGAAAACAGACTCTTTGGTCCAACCAGTCCACGCTGAACGTAATCCCAAACTGTATGAACAATAAGCGACCCAGCACTGTCCGTGTGGTATGCCACCAGCGACCAGCCCCCAGTCACTGCCTTCAAACAACCTTCAACCACCACCCTTTGTCTTCTGCCATTAAGTCAATTTTGTATCCATCTTGCCAAGTTATCCTGAATACCACGTGCAATTATCTTCTTTATCACTTTCCCATGTGAGATCTTGTCAAAAGATTTGCTCAAACCCATAGGAACTACATCAACTGCACTACCCTCATCTACACATCTAATCATCTCCTCAAAAAAATGCAATCAAATTTGTGAGGTATGACGTCCCTCTGACACAGCCATGTTGACTATCCCTGATCATACATTTCTTCTCCAAGAGGAGATCAATTCATTCCTTCTGAATTTTCTGCAATAATTTTCCTAGAACTGATGTGAGACTCATTGGTCTGTAATTCCCTGGTTTAGCCCTACCACCCTTCTGTCTCATATTGAAGAGCCACACAGATTTGATGACTCCAATTAGCATGTAGATCTAGCAGAATTACAAATGTCAAATGCTGAATGAAGAGTAACTTTATTCATATACAAAGGAACCAGCAAATATCCAGATAAAGTTGACAAACTTGACTTTATGAGCATTCCCTGGAGTGTTATTTAAGTGGCACATATACATAACTTTAGCACAGAATTTAGCCTGTCCAGTACTTTATATTTATTGGCATTAAGCCCCTTTGGAAAACGAGATAAGCTCATTTCACTAAAGGCTATATTTTCTGCAGCATTATATTTTATAAAGCTGTACTCTTTTATGTTATTAATATTGATGTAAGTTGTAGAACATGATTGTATTTTAATTGACTGCCAGAATTTATAGATCACTGGCTAATATCTGTATAGAGAATGGCTTCTCACCATCCTCCAAGACTATTAATGCCCAACAGATGGTATGTCATGCCTATTATATGAAAATCTCTGCTAACTCCATCAATGTAGCAATGAACTTCACTTTAGTTTATAAATTGAAGACCCTAAACATCAATTAAAAAAAGGTCAGAGCAAAAGTACATATCTTTTTCATTCAGATGCTGACTAACCCAAAGTCAGTTCAAGTACATGGTGGAGTAAGCAATCATAATCGATCATTTTTTTTAAAAAATAAGTAATGAACAGTAGTAGCAGAATGACATTTCCTATATTACAACAGTGACTACACTTCAAAAGAGATTCTTTGACTGTAAAGTGCTTTGAGACATCCAGTGGTCATGAAAGGCTCTTCATAAATGAAAATCTTTTTTTATTAACGCAGTACTGTCAAAGGGAATAGGTACACTGTTGTGGAATAATTAAGTTGATATTAGACTTCAGATATTAGTGAAAAACAGAACTGGTTTATCAGAAATTCCTGCTATTTCAGGAAAGAATCCATTTATTTCAAATGATTATAACCTTTATTAAAACAGCAATGAAACATGATAAAATTGTTTCAACATATTTTACTGTTATCTAACAACCAACTCCATAAGGCACAAGCTCAAACTTTCTCACAAACTGAAGAATTTTCATTCAGGTACATAGGTTTTTCAGTCAACAACAGCAAAAACTTTGCAAACCTCTTCGTATCCAATAGCTTCCAAGGTTAGCCAAGGCTAGTTATTCATTTTTCAGAACCACTCTTCCAGGTTAATGCTTTATCTGTTATTTCGGGTGCAAGAAATTCTGAAGAGAAAGAGGCTTTTCATCAGGTTAAGAAGAAAACTTAGATATATTATAGCAAAATCAATAAAACATAAATGATTTAAATGCATTTTAATTTTATTGTAATTATCAAAGTTTTCTTTTTTTAAAAAATCTATAGTAAGGTAAATGGAAAAGGATTAAAAAAAATTACAAGTCCATCCAAGGGTAAAGAACCATAAATCTCTTGATGAGCTAACATTGGGAAAACATACTATTAGCTTTATAACACAAAGTCAATCACTTGCGTGTAAGCTATTGATTTACCGTCTAGTAGCAGAGGTCTGCAGCTCTTAAACAGCTAATAAATCATAGTTCTGCACCAACCTCAGCACTTCAGTTTTATTATATGACAGGGACATTTGTAAATTGCAAGGAGCAACTAGTGGTCATACTGAGAGGCTGTAAAATCATTCAGCTTTTTGGCAGAGTTCACTTGCAGCTACCATCTTTTTAATTAAATGTTAAATATTAATATATCACAGCAGTGGATTCATCTTAAGGGTAATACTCTGGTTGTTCTCCTTTCCAAAAAAAAGGATTGCTTTTGACAATCCCAATGGAATACAAAATTGATCATTTCATCCACATTATTCAGTGCAAAAAATAAAACATTTATAAAATGTGAATATGATGTCCACAAAAAAGTCTTTTCTTGTGTTTTCATAAATTTCTTTTCAACAGATGGGTCACATGGATCCTGGAATTCTTATCACTGTCCCAGTACTAATTGCATTATTCATATGATCAAGCTTCAGTGTTAATGATTTACAGAACAGCAGTGTCCACTGGAATACAAGGAATTTATTTTAAATAATATATATCAATGTTGTCCATATCCTAAAAAAGATGGTTAGTCTTATAATAAAGATAGCACTTTTTTATTTCACAGGCATATGTATTTAAGAAACATAATGCAAAAGAAACAATGAAATAAACTACCAAGCATTCTGATTTTTATTTAGAGAGTATTGTTTAGGATGATTAATGGCACAGGCATCGAGGAGATTTTGCTACTCTTTTTCAAAATAGTGCCTTGGGATATTTTACATTCACCTGAGAGAGCAGTTTGGGCTTTGGCTTAACATTCAATCTAAAAGATGCTACCTCTGGTTAAAAGGAACCCAGATGAACAGTAAAATACAAAACAAAGGCACAAATCTTTTCCTTATTGGTACGTTTATTCACAGGACATAACATTATACATCTCTGACTCCTATTAACAACCCAGGGTCACAGCAGATTGTTCTTGTACTTTCTCCTTTTTTTATATTTGGATATGTTATCGCACACAACAAAATGGCTTTTATCACACCACTGAGTCACCTGTGGTATTCTTCATCTATTAACTACTAATACAAAATCGCTTGTGTTCCAATTGATTAATTTACACGCAAGGCCCAATAACACCAAAGGTGAGGGAAGAGGTATGAAGAGAGGGAGGGGATTAAATCAAAATGCTGTTGGAGGGAAACATAAAGCACTTCACCCCCATTAGGACCCCCCTTTCTCTAAAAGCATCGAAGTGTCAGTGGGCACCATTGACACCCAGGCACCCATGTAGCCACAGAAGAGGAGCAGCAGATTCCCTTTATATATGCTCCTGGTCCTTCATCAATAATATCCATCTATTGTGCTCTTTAACAAGACAATCACACAAGTATTTGCAGATTCCCCTTTCTCTTCTCAACAAAACATTTGTCACATACTTAAATAAGTATAATGCAATCACAGGAAAGCTAAATAGAAACCGAAAGAACTTCGGAAATCTGTTCCTGATTTACAGGAAAACTAAAATCATTTTCACATTTTGTACAAGTTATCATAAGACAAGATTTCCCTCTTCCAGGACCTCCAACAATTTAGTACAAAAGATATTCCTCTTTGTAAGCCAATTTGATAATTGGCCACTTGAAGCTACCAATTTATTTAACAATCTCTTTTCTCTCCAATATACCCTTTATACCATTAATGTCAAATTTCAACCTTCTCACAGTGACACTTCTTATCAAATGAACATTACTCCAAACATAACAGTTTTCCACATTGCATTCATTGGGCAAACTTTTCTCCAATTGCCCTTGTTTAGGATTTCCCTTGTAATCTTATAATCGCATACCTGCCAGTTTGACTATGACCAATGTTTCTACAGCTAGGGTACTTTTAAGAAACCTTGTTAATTTCTTGGCTCCCCAAGACATAGGACGGCATTTTCTGTTTCTGCCCTTCAAGATTACAATAACCTCAATGTACTTGAAAATCTATCTGGAAATTGGCATGGAAAGCATCACTAAAAGGAGCAATCTGATTTATCTTCCAGGTCACCTAAGGATGGAAGACTAAGTGTGCATTTCTTCAAATTTAATTTCTTTGATTTCTCTTTTATTGTACTTACCCTCAGTACCTCCTCAACTGAAGTGTGTTTTATCAAAGTGCTAAATTCCGGTACCAAGTAATTAAGATTGAGCCCAGACTAATTGCATAGCCAGGTTAGAGTGAGAGACTGAACAAGTTAGTGAGGTGTGGGGAATGCGGGAATGAGGTGATGGAAATGAGTATAGTGGAGTGAGGGAAGATATAATGTTGGAGTGAGAGGCAGGGAGAAAATGAGTGTGAGAATGAAATGGCGAGAATGAGAGAATATGAGAGAGGTCAGTTGGTGATGGTGTGTGCCAGATAGTGACAGAGTGAGTGAGGAAGAGTGTATGTGTGTGTGTGTGTGCATGTGTATGTGTCTGCACGTGTATCTGTGCATGTGTGTTTCTGTGTGTGTGTGAAGGAGGGAGTGAGGGGGTAATGTCTGTTTGGGGGGAAGGAGGAAGTGAGTGATGTGGGGAATGAGGGAGTGTGAATGGAGTATGCATATGTGATGGAGGAAGTGAGTAGGGTATGGGTTTGTGTGTCTGTATGTGTGTGTGTCTGTGTGTGTGTGTGTGTGTGTGTGAATGTAGAGAGGGAGAGAATGAGAGGTGGAGTATGTGAGTTGGAGAAGGAGGAAGTGAGTGAGAGAGGACAGCATGAATTTGTGGGAGAGAGAGTGAAGGCAGACTGCTTGAGAGTGTGAACACTGAGACTGAGTGAGTCAAACACTCACACAACTCCTCCTTCGCCTGCCCCAATAGCCAATTGAAAAAAAACAGGCTGGGAGAAGAGGAAAACCTATGCTGAAAGGCAATTTGCTTCTGGCCAAGACTTTCATACGTATGCCCTGAAGCCCATCTTGATGTGTCCAACACCAAAGTTGAAAGCAAAGTCAATGAAACCCTGAGCAATTAATCTTACTGTCCAATCAGAATGTTTTTTTTACCATTGGCATCCTCCCTGCCTGCCCCCTATCTGGCACTTCAGAATAGACAGTAATTATTTTTTCTTGTTGTTTTCACTTTCATCAAATTTTCTTCCAATTTATTCATGGTCACCTAAACATCGTAATCTTAAGGGCTACTACTTCTAGTGGAGTGTTTTGATTGTCCTACTCGCTTTGTTCTAGCCAAACTACAGGCTGTACTTGCTCCCCCGCCTTCTTCTGGACAATCGCTTCATGAGCTTGTCCTTCCACAGTCAAAGGAACTGTTGCCAGTATATGATCATCCTCTAGAGCCAGAAACATTTCCACCTCCATTATGGGAACTCACACTCCATTTCCTAACGCGTCTCATTTCACTTGTCTGTCCATGACTTTTAATTCTTGTCCATCAGTTTGAACATTTAGCCAATGTTTGAGTTTTCAAGTGGACTTCCCTAATTTGCCTACAATGTTCACATCCAAGAAAAAAAAACATAAAACTTGAAAATGGCAAAACTGAAATGGAACTCCAGTTCATTTATTCTACTGGTAATTCCTTCTGAGGAGTCCATTTAATGGACATCACACCAGAACCAACTTTCAGCAAGTTGTCCTAAGGGGAAAATAGCGCCATTTCATGCATTGTTGTCACTTCATTTGTCATCAAGCACTTCACCCGTCACATTCCTCTCCTCATTCCTCATAACTGAGGAATAGGGTGCCTCATCATCTTCCATTAATTGCTCAGATTCTTCAAGTTTACAATAAACCCCAATTAACCTTGATGAATACCCACTAATAGTTTGACTAACCATGTTGGAGAATTAGTGCCTTCTCATCGAGCCTTGGTGCTTTACCTGGAACTTTCTACTCTTTATATATTATGGTGCCTCAGTGGTTAGCACTGCTGCCTCACAGTACTAGGGCCCCTAGTTCAATCCCAGCCTTGGGTGACTGTCTGTTTTGCATGTTCTCCCCGTGTCTGTGTGGGTTTCCTCTAGGTGCTCTGGTTTTCTCCCACAGTCCAAAGATGTGCAGGGTAGGTGGATTGGCCACGCTAAATTGCCCATAGTGCCGGGGGATGTTTAGGTTGGGTGGGTTAGACATGGGAAATGCAGGCGTAGGGCAATGGGTCTGGGTAGAATGCTCTTCAGAGGGGCGGTGTGGACTTGTTAGGCCAAATGGTCTGTTTCCACGCTGTTGGGATTCTCTGATATAGCATACTAAATCCCCAGGTTTAAAGCTTACCTCTGATGGTTTATTGTGATATCATAAGGCTTGCTGAAATTTCAGCGAGAATTCTGCCTTCTCCTTGAACGTAGAGCAGTGAAGTTTGCTGAAAGGTGGAACTAATTGTAGGGCTGGGAGGAGATAACTCATCACAGAAGATCTATTTGCATATCTCCCATTGACCAATGGATATGAACTATAGCCCCAAGCATTTGGGGCAAACTCTTCACATGGACGGCGTGCTCCAGAGCAGCTAATAACTTACAAATTTTTTAGTCAGCTAGAATCTTTTGGACCATCTTATCAATCAACATGTGATTTTTTTTCACCAAATCCATTACAGAAGGGTCTTTCAGGTGAAGTGTTCATCACTACAATGTTCATATTTTCATACGTACCTTTAAATGCTCCATTGGCAAATTTCACCCCACCAAGCCCATTATCAATTAGCAATAAGGCACCTAAT